CTAATTCAATTTTCAAAAGAAATTTTGTAATTTCCGCAGAACGATGTTGGTTAGTAACTCAAGGTCGATGCAGTTGCATAAGACCAGAGCAAACCTTCGAAAGTAGTGGAGAATCTCATTTAAACCCTGATTACAATTCAGATGTGCTGTTTGTTTTAAATTATTATTCCAACTTTGACGACTGAATAAGGAAATTATGCTTTTAATTGATTTGAACTGAAACGACATAAACTAAAAACATTCAGAAAACCACAAGTCACTGGCTAAAAAAAGAGAAGATGTAGGGTTCTTGCTTCCCACTTGACGTCATGGTATAAGACAACGATTCAACAGCAATTTCGAAATTCTTTTACCATCTTACTCTTCAGCCTAAATTCAGTACACAAGGGAGAAACTACACAGAAACCTGGAAAAAACTTTGCATTCCATTAAATCTTTTGAAATCTTCGAGTATACCACACGGTACAATGGGAATAAGACAGGTTACCGAAGCAGAAAGTCAATAATTCCACGTTTTGAATCATTTTAAATGAAACAACGTGAAATCGGCAGCTACTTTTATGAAAGTGACTTGTCTATTAAAGTTAATCATCAGCTCACTTACTTTTTCACTAAACGTTTTGATCCCACATTTTGACACCGCGGTCTTGAAGCATGTATCTAATTCGGGACATACGGAATACTGTATATGTTCCAGCGATTTGCAAGTTGTGCAAATCACAGAACGAACATCCAGTTTTACCATTACCTCTCCAACAAGATTTGCTAACCGAAGGACATTCATATATGAATTAGTCAATTCGGTAGATTTGTAGCTCAAATCAGTCACCTTTGTTTAGCAAATATTGAATAGGATGATGGGCCAAATTTTACGGTTCGCCATATTTCCATGCATAAAGATCTCATGTGTGGTAAGCTCTTAATATATTACTATTCAATACAAATATTCATTCCATTTCAATATATACGCTCATATAATTTAACTTGTATGAAGTGTGCGAGAAATATTGGAATCGGAACAAGATCGCGGTAATGTCTCACCTGAAGGTGAAGAACCATGAGTATATGTAGGGCAGAGATGGAAAAATTGC